AGAAAACAATCACACCTGTGAGACAGAAGCACTAGGAGCTCAAAGTCTTCCTATAATACACAGCTGAGACCAACCTGGGTAACATGAATCCTTTTTTAGAAAAAAGAAAAAACCCAGGCATAACCCATGTCTTTAATCCCAGCACTTGGGAGGCAAAAGCAGGGAGATCTCTGTGAGTTCAAGGCCAGCCTGGTCTCCAGAGCGAGTGCCAGTATAGGCTTCAAAGTTACACAGAGAAATCCTGTCTCAAAAAACCAAAAAAAAAAAAAAAGAGAGAAGAAAAGGAAACCACCCAGAGAGAGTGAGCCAATATGTGCCTATCAGAATGAGCAAAAAACCCTGTCACCAAAAAAAAAAAAAAAAAAAAAAAAAAAACCTGAGTAAGGGTAGGGCATGGAAGCTCATATTTGTAATTCCAACACTTGGGAAGCCTGGGCTAGAGTTAGACCCTGACACAAAACAAGACCACACAACAACCTGAGTAAGATTATGATTAGCCTAGTTAATTGGAGGAAATTGGTACATCCCAGAAAATAAAGCTAATATAATAAATATAATTAGAAAAGAAAAATAATCCACTTCACGAAACAAAGTAGACAAAGCTAAAGCCTGGAGAAAAGGAACTCATGGAGGACCACTGAATGTTCATGGATCATCAGACTCTCCAAAACCTTAACTTTTCATGTGTATGAGTGTCTTACCCCCATGAATGTAAGTGCACTACATGTATACACAACCCACAGAGGACAAGAGGGTATCAGATCCCCTGCAACAACCAGATTTAGAGATAGTTGTAAACCACCTTGCTGAGATCTAAACCTGGGTCCTCTAAAAGAGAAACACCTACTGTTAACTTCTGGAGGATCTCTCCAACCCCCAAAATACATTTTTTAAAAGACAGGGGGCTCTCTATGTAGCCCTGACTGACCAGGAACTCACTATGTAGACCAGGATGGCCTCAAATCTCTGCTGAGTTAAATTCCCAAAATACTAACTTTTTTTTTGAGACAGAGTTTCTCTGTGTACCACGGCTGTCCTAGAACTCGCTCTACAGACCAGGATAATATTAACATTAAAATATACTCTAATATTTGCCTAACACTGTATATTCTGACAACTCTTAATCTAGTAAAATTATATTTATAAGCATTCTATATCAGATACAGATATTTGAAAACATTGATGGACAGTTTAAAAATTACCACCACATTCAGGAGGCAGAGGCAGGTGAATCTCTGTGAGTTCAAGGCCAGCCTGCTCTACAGAACAAGTTCCAGGACAGTCAGGGCTATTACAAAGAGAAGCCCTGCCTAAAAAAAAAAAAATGAGTAAATAAATAAAGCATGAAAAATAAAATAATTTTTTAATTATCACCAATTTGAACCCAAACTGAATACATACATGTAAATACTGCTTCAATTCTTTAACTTCCAAGCTACACACAACTCTACAAACTGAATTCCAATATTATTACTGTCACCCAATAAAACTCTATATGGTTACCCAACTATTTATCCCGACAAAGACAGCTTTCTCTAGTACAGAAAAGAAGGTAGTTCACTTCCCTTGGATTGAAAAACGGAGTTGTATTAGGACAATGTCCACGAACAGTACCTATTCCTTACTTATTAGAACTAACTGCTATCCACAGATACCTACATATTTCAGGTTAAACATGGGATGCAGCATGCCTGCTCCATCATCTGAGTAATCACATACAAATAACCTACACAACCTCAGCTAAGCTTTATTCAAAAGAAGTTTTAGTTCTGATATACAAAAAATGTCTTAGAATTGATCTACTATTACTTCCAAGTGTTTTCCTACAATCCTCCTATTCTGTTAGCCCTAACTTCTCTATTAATATCATTTCTGTGTGTGTGCACACACCTCTGTGTGTGTGTGAGAGAGAGACAGAGAGAGACAGAGAGACAGAGACAGAGACAGAGACAGACACATTATTTCCAGGTACCCTCAGACGGAGTTATAAGCAGCTCTAAGCAGCCAGACACAAAGACACAAGTACTGAGAACTGAACTTAAGTCCTCTGGAAAAGCAGAGTACCTTAACCAACAAGTCCAGCCCCATCTACATATTTTTTTAATCACATACTCAAATCCTCATTAATGGCCATCTGAAAGTACACATCCCCATCAGTGTTAATTTATCTATTTTTGCATTCATATTATATACCTACACCCTTCCTCCTCCATCACTAAGGTGAATATTTTCTTTCTGTGTACAGCAGGTAAATAGAAAAACATTTTAACAAGTCCTGACACACATTATTGTTCTGGAACATGGCCTCCAGACACAAAAACATCCCAACTAAACTGTCTATCCAAAACACTTAAATAAGTTTGCTAATAAAATTTTTTGTAGCCGGGCGTTGGTGACGCACGCCTTTAATCCCAGCACTCGGGAGGCAGAGGCAGGCGGATCTCTGTGAGTTCGAGGCCATCCTGGTCTACAAAGCAAGTTCCAGGACAGCCTCCAAGACAATACAGAGAAACCCTGTCTCAAAAAACCAAAAGGAAAAACAATAAATCATAACACCTGGGCTGAAGAAAAGGCTCATCCTTTAAGAGAGCTTGTTGCTCTTCCAGAGGACCAGAGCTCCATTCTCTACACCCAGGTCAAGAGACTCACAAGCACCTGTAACTACAATTCCAGGAAATCCATACTCTTACCTGTAAGGGCACCTACACACTCATGTCAAACACTCAAAATCATATACATAAAGAAAAATAAAATAAAATAAATCCGAAGCCTGGAGTTTTGCCTCATGCCTTTAATCCCAGAACTCTGGGGGTAGATTCTGGTGGATCTCCCAAGTAGAGTCCAGTCAGCTCTCCAAAGTGATTTCCTGCCACACAGTGAGAGAGAGAGAGAGAGAGAGAGAGAGAGAGAGAGAGAGAGAGAGAGAGAGAGAGAGAGAGAAATCCTAACATACATGTGATAACACCATTTATCCTAAATTAGAAATTGTGAAAATATTATATGATTGGCCAAAAGCATGGACATGTATGAAAGTGATAAAAATCAAATTTAAGATGTAGAAGGGGGGCTGGAGAGATGGCTCAGCGGTTAAGAGCATTGGCTGCTCTTCCAGAGGACCGGAGTTCAATTCCCAGCACCCACATGGCAGCTCACAACTGTCTGAAACTCTAGTTCCAGGGGATCTGATACATTCACACCAATGCACATAAAATAAAGTTAAATGAATTATTAAAAAAAAAAGATGTAGAAGGGGCTGGAGAGATGGCTCAGAAGTTAAGAGCACTTGCTGCTTTTCCAGAGGTCCTTCCTGATTTCAATTCCTAGCAACCACATGGTGGCTCACAACCATCTATAATGAGATCTGGTTCCTTCTTCAGGGAGAACACTGTATGCATAATAAACATTAAAAAAAAAAGATAGTATTTAAAAGAGAGGAAGAAAAGGTCAGTGAAATGCAACTCAGGTGCCAGGGTAAGCATCTGTATTTGCAATATCTTACTTCTTATGCCAAGTAGGGGACTACATGACCATTTACAATTAAGTCCTGTCCATATTTAAAATATTTTAAGTGAATGTTAAAGAGTCAACTGTTCATGAACATCTTCCTCTCAGCCACAATACCATGTTATATCCAAGTTGCAGTAAGCGAGCATTGTTACATCTGGGCCACGCATCCTGTCACTTACCTAAGGCACAAAATGGAAATTTATAAGCCTACCACCTGAAACTTTCTCCTAGACATCTCTTAAATGTAATAGAAGTTTACATGCTGTAACTATACATCACCAGTTCTTTCACAAGTCAACAAAAATTAGCATCTCTAATTTCATCTTTGTATCCTTAATTGCCATTTATTCTTATGCCTTTTTATTTACACAATAAGCTTATCCCTGTATGTCTGTGTAAAATAACACAAAGGAAATGGTAGACCACATAACTACTTCCATTTAGCTAAATAAAATACGATTTATCTCTGTGCCTGAGTCTAAACCCACTAATACACGAACTTCTCCATTGTAATCTTTAACATCAAAATTAAGACATCATTTATCCACAAATGAAATGGCATCTCAGCAAATAATTTAGGGCAATCCCAAAACACTCCAGTCTGTCCACTGAATGAACTTTAACCTCACGCATCCTAAAAGTTCTATTCCTGAAGCAACGTTTACACCACCCAGAAGTGCTCTTCCCTCCAAAGCGGAGATTCAGACATACTTCCAACTACCAATTTCTCAGTTTGGTAAAAAGCAGTCGAAAGGGCCTGAAGGTTCACCTAATTACAAGGGGGACTACACTTCTTGACCCTGGAAGGGTGGGAGCCCCGTCTAACCGGCTTTGCACTCTGCGAGTCCCACAGAAGTCCACGCAACAGTTCAGACAGCTGGCCCTCCTCTCCTACCTCCCTGCCCACCGGTCCCCAGCCCACCCCTATGCGGACTCGCCGTCCTCCGGAGGTCCCCGCACCTGCGAGACCCGAGGACAGCCGACGGACAGGCCGCTACTCCCCGGGAAGGGAGGGCTCCACAGCCGAGGGCTGCTGGACAGCCGGCTGGGAAGCTTCCCGCCCCTTGCCTCCGGGCACCCACCTCTCCCGCCACAGCCGAGCCTACCAGCCCTTCCCCTCTGGTCCATCCAGAAGCTGGTCCCAAAAAAACCTCGTCCAGGAGCCGGGCGAGCCCGACCCTGTCAGGCGCCGACCTCCTGAGGAAGCCTCCTCACCCACAGGGCCCGGCCGGCCCAGACACACAAGGCCCGGAAAGCAACTCGCAGCGCACTCCGCCTCACCGGGCCCTCGCCCCCAAACGCTGGGCTTTCCGAGAGTCCGAAGGTCCCCTGCCGTAGCTTCCGGGCCTCCGCGCCATCCCCGGCCCTCCCGCTTCCCGCTGCCCTCCCGAGGCCGAGCCCCGGGGCTGGGCGGCTTCCTCGCCCAGCATCCCGACAACCCGGCTCCGCCCGCCCGCGACCGGCCCAGCCCCCGCCCGGCGTGCCGCGCTCACCGCTCAGCGCCGAGGCCTGAAGGGTGGCCCCCGACGTGCCGTCGATGACTTTGATGGTCCCGCGGCTGGTGACGGCCAGGATGGCGTTGAGCGCCGGGTGGTAGGACAGGCTGTGCAGTCCGTCGGCGTCGCAGCGCATGCAGCCATCCCGCAGCACCAGCCACTCGGAGACCCCGGCCGCCGTCGCCCCTGCCGCCGTCGCCGCCGCCGCGGAGGAGCAGCTCGGGCCCGAGGCCTCCGCAGCCGCAGCCGCCATCTTCCGGCCTGCGCTCAGCACAATCACACTGGGAAGCGGCTCAGTGACAGTCCCGGGAGGTGCAGCGCCACAACCAGTCACCATCCGGGGCCAGGGGGCAAAGCGGAGCGCGTTAGCCGGAAGTGAAGTCAGGCGCCCGCACGCACGGGGAACGTCGGCCGCCGGGCCGGCCAGGCCAAGCGGGTATGGAGGGAGGGAGGCCGCACCGCAAGAGGGCGGGCGCCCAGGGGGCGGAGCATGCGCGGGAGCGTCCGGAGGGTCGAGCGCTGAGGGAAGCTGATGGGGGACGGGCGAAGGAACGGGGAAGGCGGGGCGGGGGCGGGACATGCGCGGAAAGGCTCCCCGGATGGCACTGGCGGCTCGCAGGCGGAGGAGGGGGCGGGGCCTGGAGGAAAGAAAAAAAAAAAAAAACCCTCGGCGCGCGGGGCATGCGCGGTAGGGCTTGCGCGTGCCACGCGCCGCGGCTCCGGCCAGCCCTGCGTCCTCAACGTCCCAGTTTCTTCCTGCGAGCCCCGGGAGTGGCGGCAGCGGGAGTTCCGCTCGGCGCGTGGCAGGGAGGGCGGTGCTGAGTCCAGGGTATTTCCGCTAGGCAGACCCGGGCCCGCGCGCCCTGTCTGGTACGCCCGGAGGCTCTTTGGTGGCCGGTGCGGCCCAGCGGTTCCCAGCGCTCTGGGGGGGGGGCGGGTCCGGAAGCAGGCCTGGATCGGTGCACTCCACTCTTGTAGGGCTTTGAGAAACTGAACCTGATTTTTTACGACGCGCCTGTCCTAGTTGCAGATCTTTTGTTAAACAGAAATGCACCTTCTGGAGACTTTTACAATTCAGTCTAAGTGTACATTGTTCTAAAGAATTTACATGAGGATGCTTGGGTTTTGGAGTGGTAGTCAAATAATCACCCGCTTTTGAAGAATATCTTTTAAAAAAAATATGTTGAAACAGTTACTAGAGTCAGTCACTTGGAGTTATAGTGTAACGGTACCTAGGTGTGGTCCCACATGCCTGGAATCCCAGTCCTAAGCAGGAATGCTACGAATTCGAGCCAAGCCTAAGCAATATATGACAAAATCCTCTCAAAAGAATTAGTGAGCAATGCCGGGCGTTGGTGGCGCACGCCTTTAATCCCAGCACTCGGGAGGCAGAGGCAGGCGAATCTCTGTGAGTTCGAGACCAGCCTGGACTACCAAGCGAGTTCCAGGACAGCCTCCAAAGCCACAGAGAAACCCTGTCTCGAAAAACCAAAAAAAAAAAAAAAAAAAAAAAAAAAGAATTAGTGAACAAGATAATTTAGGAGCTTAGGAGCATTGCTGCTCTTCCAGAGGACCTCAGCCTGAGGTTGAGTTCCCAGCACTCCAGTTGGATGGCTCTGAGGATCTGACATTTGTCTTCTGTCCTCAGTGGGTACCTTTAGGAGGTTGATCCGAGGGCACCCTCTCATCCAGGAGGTTGAGGTATGCTTAAGCTACATGAAAACTCAGCAGACAAAAGGAAAAGACAGTCCATGTGAAACCTAGCTACCACCTTCATTCCTGCAGAGCAAATACTTGTGCATTATCCCAGTCAAATCTTTTGTTTGTTTTTTTGTTTTTCGAGACAGGGTTTCTCTGTGGCTTTGGAGGCTGTCCTGGAACTAGCTCTTGTAGACCAGGCTAGCCTCGAACTCACAGAGATCCGCCTGCCTCTGCATCCCAGTCAAATCTTAAGCCTGCTTGTTTATATATAAAGTTATTTGATCTACATACTGGGTTTTTTGTTGTTATTTTTTTGTTTTGTTTTGTTTTTTGGTTTTTCGAGACAGAGTTTCTCTATGGCTTTGGAGGCTGTCCTGGAACTAGCTCTTGTAGACCAGGCTGGCCTCGAACTTACAGAGATCCGCCTGCCTCTGCCTCCCAAGTGCTGGGATTAACTACATACTGTTTTTATTTTAAAAGACTTACGTATATGAGGCTTCATCTACATATATGTATGTGCACCACGTGCCTGCCTGGTGCTTACATAGGCCAGAAGAGGGCATTGCATCAACTGGAACTGGAGTTGTGAGCTGCCCAGTGGGTTCTGGGAACCAAAGCCAGGTCCCCTACAACAGTAGCAGAGTGACCTCCCCAGTCCCACTCTGTCTGTGACGGGATCTCATGTAGCACAGAATGATTTCAAACTGGACGTGTAGCTTGAACCTGTCATCCCCTGGCCTCCACCACAGGTGTATGCCACCACACTCTGAGGATTTCTTATCCAGGTCAAATGAAAGTGATAAAAATTCATAACAGGCTTGCTTTAGGACTTGTAAATAAAATTAATGGACATACAGACTTAATGCCTTGTCCATGATTCCATCACCTGTGGGCCACGGCTAGCAGAAGCTAAGAGTCCGAACTCAGTTTGATTTGAAAACCCATACTGCTTACACAACCGCCTTCTCAAAACAGTTCTTAATTTAAAGGACTCAAGTTTCTGAGACTAGGAGTCCCCTAAACCACTAAAAAAACTAGTATCCTTTTTTTAAAATAGTTTTTTGTTTTTGGTTTTCCAGACAGGGTTTCTCTGTATTTCTGTATTGCTTTGGAGGCTATCCTGGAACTCGCTCTGTAGACCAAGCTACCCTCGAACTCACAGATATCCGCCTGCCTCTGCCTCCCAAGTGCTGGGATTAAAGGCATGCACCACCAACGCCCGGCTTTAAAATAGAATTTATCTAACTTTATTTTACGTGCATTGGTGTCAGATCCCCTGAAACTGGAGTTACCGACAGTTTTGAGCTGTTATGTGGGTGCTGGGAATTGAACCTGGAAGAGCAGCCAGTGTTTTTAACCACTGAGCCATCTATCCAGGCCCCAGGAGTATCACCTTCCTTAAACCACCAGCAATTAAGTAGAAACTGTAAAAACTACTATTTCAAAGTGTTTTCAAAATCCCTTTGACCAAACTATTCTTTAATTAGAGTGACTCGTCTGGACAGACCTCCAGTGCAAATCAAGTCAAGGGTCAAGATAGACCCACGAGAGACGTTTTAAATCACACTCTTTATGGTAACTTGTTCTTTCTGTATTTTTGGAAGGACTAATTGAGATCCCAAAGGCTATGGATAAGAGATTCAAGACAGGTTAGAAGTGATGATAATATGGAGCTGGGGAGCAGGGGAGATGGCTCAGCAGTTGAGAGCACGGCTATTTTTGCCAGCTTCGATGTCTTCAATTCAACACTTACGTGGTGATACACAGCTGTAACTACATTCCTAACTCCCTCTTTTGGCCTCCCCTGGCACCAGGCACTCGTGGTGCACAGACATACATACAATCAGAGCACTCAAATACGTAAAAGAAAATCTGAGATATATACTGAGTTTCAGCCCATCCTGGGCTAGAAAGTGAGATGACAAAAAAGCGTGGAGGAAGGAGAATGACACTGGACCAGACAAATTAAAATTCAATGTCACCTTGGTGTTCAGTGTGTTTCTGCATGCGGTATTGAGGACAAGTACTCTCAACACAGAAAATCATGCTGACTTTCATGACTAGTCTGTTTTGAAGTGACAGCATTTGTTTTGAACACAGGTGAAAAGGAAGTAGAAAGTCCTCACTGGCAGTCATTCTGGGAAGGAATTTCCTGGAATAAGAAATGAGCTCTCAGAAATAGGCCTGCATGATGCAGAAAAAGCATTTGACAAAATCCAACACCCATTCATGGAATAAAAACCAAACTAAAAATATTTCTTCTACTTGATAAAAAGCACCTACAAAGAAATCCTGATACATTCAGTGACAGCAAAGCAGATCCTGATCTCCTGAGGCTGTCACCTTGCTGTCCACTCCCAACTGCCCCTCACCTGAAAGCCCCTCAGAAAATGACTTGACACCCCTCACCATGCACAAAAAAAGGAAACTAGGGTAAACCATAATTACCGTGAACTACTGGCTGCTTTTTCTCTAACATTAGGGAGAATAGAAGGACAATCACTTCCACAATTTTCAAACCCAGCACTTAAAGTTCTAGAATTTGCTGAAAACTCCCTGCAACCATGCAAGAAAAGGAAATAAAAAGCAGAGAAAAGGCAGTTTCTGGAGCTTCCTCTCTGTAACTGCAGCCCTGGTGAGGGAACTGAGCAGCTTTAGACTCATCTGCTTATTAACAGTGGAAGCTCTTACCCTCCAGCACTCAAGAGGCAGAGGCAGGCAGATCTCTGTGAGTTCAAGACCAGCCTGATCCACAGAGCGAGTTCCAGGACAGCCAGAGCTGTTACACAGAGAAACTTTTCTCAAAAAACAAAACAAAACAAAAACACAGTGGAAGCTGTAGTCCGATGGAGGCCAGAGCAAAGCCCCTAGTGCAGTGGTCCTCCACCTTCTGAATGCTTCAACTCCTTACTACAGTTCGTCAGGTTGTGGTGACCCCAACCAGAAAGTTATTTTTGTTGCTATTCATAACTGTAATTTTGCTACTGTTATGAATCATAATGTAAATTTTTTTTTTGGTTTTTCGAGACAGGGTTTCTCTGTGTAGTTTTGGAGGCTGTCCTGGCACTCGCTCTGTAGACCAGGCTGGCCTCGAACTCACAGAGATCCGCCTGCCTCTGCCTCCTGAGTGCGGGGATTGAAGGTGTGCGCCACCAACGCCCGGCTCATGTAAATTTTTGACATGCAGGATGGTCATAGACAACCCCTCAAGGAAGGGTCATTCAACCCCAAGGAGGTCACAAGCCACAGATTGAGAACCACTGCACAATCTGTGTAGCTCACTGGTTAAGAGGCCGGTGGGCCAGAGTTTGGTGTCTCGCACCTGCACCATATAGCTACTAACTGCCTGTCACTCCCTCTTCAGATAAGCCAATGCCCTTTGCCGACCTTGGGTGCCTGCACACACACAGCACACACATAAATAATAAACAGTTTAAAAGAGAGGCTAGAGAGGTGGTCAGGGCTTCATAGCACTGCTTGCCCTCACAAAGGACACAGGTTTGATCCCCAGCACCCTTGTGATGTTACTCAAGTTCCAGAGGATCTGACGCCCTCTTCTGACATATTAAGAACTAAACATATGAGGTACACAGCCAAAACATGTAGGCAAAATACCCACACATAAAAATAAAATATCCAAGAGAAGGGGTTTCTTTATCTAAAAGACATTCACTGATTATGGAAATCACCAAATAAAGCTCCCACTCCTGATGCGTGCACACGGAATCCCTGATGATGATACCTCATACATACA